AGAGAGAGAGAGAGAGAGAGAGAGAGAGAGAGAGAAAAAGAGAGAGAGAGGAGATTTCAACGTTATTCAATTTCGAAAGACGAGTTTTCAGTGTTGATCGCGGCGACGGGTAATTAGCTGACTTGCGAAGATCGATGGTACGATCTACTGTTGGGAACTGAAAGGTTGCCGCGAAACTCGGTTACTTTTGAAAAGCACTGCCTTTTCGAAACCGCTGTGACCAATATCCTGGTCACAATGACTTCTCGTTTTTACCTCGCTTCGTGGTTCTCTGTGGAAGCTACTTATCGCGAGTTGACGTTTGTTCTTCCAGACGGAAGCGTCTTCTTCGCGATACGTGCATAGATATAAATTGTTTGAAATTTTTAGTAACATACGTGACATGGCATTTTGTGTCCAAGAAAAAATTACGTTTATATAACTACATAAAGAAAATGTTTCCAATATTCTCAATATTAAGCAATATCAAACGTAATCAATCTAAAACTCCTTTATACATTCAGTTGTCAGTAAAATCTACCGAGAAACATTTCAAATCTAACTTCGTGAAAATTCCCTATTAAAATGTTCAAATCTATAGGAATTCATGGAAACCGTTCAGTTTGAAATGCATCCTTGGTTCGCTCAGCTCGTGAACCGACCACGGGCTCACTTGAAAACGAGCGGCGCAGGGCCCGAGAAGATGGCTCGATGGATTTTTAGCGAAGGGGCCTGGCCACGGTTTTTTCCTGCGGCTCATAATATATTCGCGGCATGTGTAACGCGCGTGCAACGCGTATTCCCCCGAATCCGCGTGGCGAATCGAGGAACCGCGTCGAAACCGCCCGGCCTGGGGAACGAGCTATCACAGGTGACGCGGTGGTTTCGGGTGGTGGCACGATTAAAAAAGAAATTCATCAGGCGGTTCTCGCGCGTCCAGAGGGGAAAGTATCAGGTGCGGCCGGAGGAGGACACCGCGATGAGGATGCGCCCCGCCGTTAAGTATTTACGCCGGATGACGAGTCACTTTTAGTAATCCCTCCGTGTATGTTGTAAAGTATTATGCACGCGGACGGCGACCAGCGCTCAAACCGTGACGGAAGCTACTGTAATTACGCGCAAGATGGTTGCCGGTGAGCGCGACGCGCGGAGGCCAACGATCGATCTCCGATCGAGGAACTAACGAGTCGGTGAAAGGCGCCGAAGCGGCTGGCGACTATAACGCTGAGCGACTTTTCGAGAAGGTCGATCGTTTCGTACACGAAATCGATGAAAGATGATCTCATTAATATCTCAATTGAACGCATGCTACCTTACAATAAATCGTATTAGGGTAGACCGAGGCGTATTGGATCTTCTCTTCGAC